ATATGGATCTTTGGTTATTCGGGTTTTCTCCCACGTAAAATTGGAAGTATCTAGGCGACGTTTCGATGAAGTCTCATTCATCATCTTCAGGCTTGTGTCTTCGGCATTGTGCTTCTCAGAGTAATGTGAGCTTGCAGCTGCTTCTTCCTTTTAACTAAACTGATTTAGTTTCCATTCTGGAAGACCCACAAGAAACAGGGCCTAAACTAATAAAAAAAAATTAGAGGAATATGGCGAAGTGGTAGGATTGAAAATAAACAAAGAGAAAACTGATATTAGTTTTAAATCTCACAGATATGCAGAAAAAAGAGTTAATGAAGAGAATGGATATTCAGATTGCTAAGAAAGTAAAATACTTAGGGATCTATTTGACAACAAGAGGAAACAAGGAAGATAATTATTATAAACTAATGCAACAAATTAAAGCGGATTTGGAGAAATGGAAAAACCTGCAATTATCATTGATAGGAAGGATAGCCACAATAAAATTGAATATATTACCGAGACTATTATATCTATTTCAAACAATTCCGATAAAATTGAAAAAAATATTTTGAGGAATTCAATAAAGTAATATTAAAATATATTTGACAAGGGAAAAAAGCAAGAATAAGCCTAAAAATGCTGCAGGATTCGAGAAACAGAGAAGGCTTTGGGCTATTGAATTGGGAATTGTATTATTAGGCTAAGGTGAGTGAAAGAATGGATTGTATTGAGGAACAAAAGACTGTTGACCTTGGAGGGACATGATTTGCAATTGGCTGGCATGCCTTCTTGTGGTATGGGAAAAATAAAATACATAGTTACTTTCAAAGACATTATATTAGGAATGCATTATTAGTGTGGGAGAAAGTCAGAGAACTTGAGGATACCAGTTTGGCTTTCAGTAATGGAAGCACTGATTCACCCAAATGTGATCAACATGGAAAATATTATTAGATACAAAAATGTTTTGAATGAAAAGGGGGAACTCAAAACTAAGCAAGAATTGAGCGATCAAGGGATTGATATGACACAGTACTCAAGGTGCAGATACATTCTAGATATGAGAAAGATGTTAAACTATATGTGTTTTTATAAAGAACTAACAGAACTAGACAAGATAGTAACAGGAGTAGAAGAAAAATTGATAAAGAAAACATACAGCTACCTATTAGGCATTAAATTGGAAGATGAACAAGTGAAGACAATAATAATATGGGCAAAAATTTTTGGTTAGACAATTGAGTTAGAGATAACCAAATTTGTCTTGCATACCAAACAATAAAGCAAGAAAGGACAACTTTTCTGCAGCTGGGTTAGGTGCCACTTATTTACAATTTGAGGGGAGATGATGATGATGATTACACCATAGGAAGTCCTCAACTTACAACCATAATTGAGTCCAGAATTATGGTTGTAAGTCATTGCAGTTATAAATCAAGGCATCATAATACTGGTTCTGATTTTTCAGCATTTGTTTGCATAATTTTAAAAATATTCATAATTTTAAATATTAATATTAATAATATTTAATATTAAAATTGAACAGTGTGTCATCCTGGTACAAATATCTTTATAAAATAATAATCAAAAATTACAGCTTTATTCATTACATTGATATTAATTCTACAATATTAAAATAATATCCAACTTACTAATTATAATATTTGCTTATCTCTCTTAGCATATCTTCTTTATTTCACTAATCTTTTGTTTCCCTGTTTCTAACTTCCATTTTTTTATTTAACGATTGATAAAATAAATCCCATATCATATAATATTCAGTTTGCTCTTTCTCATTAATTGCAAGCATTAATCTGTTCATTTCTGCACATTCTAATATTTTCCTGATCACATCTGTGGGTATCTCTTCAGTTTTCCAGTTTTGTGCATATACAATTCTAGTTACAGTTAATATATGAATAATTAATTACTATATTTTTCAGGTAAAAACCTCAATAGAAATATTTCTGGCTTTAAATCAATATTCTGCTTTATCTTTTTTTCCAGCCATGTATGTATTTTTTCATTTGAGCAAGTCCACCACATATGATAATATGGTATCTGGGGGCACTTCCATCATTTAGCTGACTTATCTTTAAACATATTTGCTAACCTCATTGGCACAAAATACGATCTATAAAACATCTTATGCAAATTTTCTTTGTATGCAGTTGACATTGTTAATTTATAATTCCTGTCCCACAATTTTTGCTATTTGGCCTTTATTCCTTATTCTGATAATTTACAATCCAGAAACCCTATAATTGTGAGGTCATCTTCCATTTTCTACAACTTTATGTTTTTTCTCCCTCTTACAAACATTTGTGTTTTGCTAGTGTGTGGACAGGTGGTGAAGCAGAACCGTATTGTGGGGGGAGAAGATGCCTCTCTGAATGCTTGGCCATGGCAAGCCAGCCTCCAGTACCAAGGAAAGCATGTCTGTGGAGCGACCCTCATCAGCTCTGAATGGATACTGACAGCAGCCCATTGCTTCCCTAAGTGAGTAAGTGTGAGAAGGACCAGTTTTGGAATTGCACAGGCTTCAGGTCTAGCTGCCTAAACAGCCATTTACTGGAGGCACATAAAAACAGCATATGCATGTGTGTTAAAACTTCGGTTTAAAAAAGCTGGTGGTTTTCTTCATTATTTATGCCATCCTGCTCCAGCCTGAACTCTCCAGAAGTGCTGGATCCAATTCCTGGGAGATCTGAAAATTGTGGGCCATATCTTAAAGATAGCCTGTTTAGCAAAATCTGAGGTGGAAAATCTGAGGTGCACAAAACAAGCAAACAACCGAGCTCAGAGCACCAAGGATTCCACCATTCAACCCTTAGCTACATATATTTGCTTTTATAGGTACAATGACAGGGAAACCCTGGATAACCAGGTGGGATGGGAAATGGGTGGAATGGCTGGATTTCTCAAATGAAACTTTCCACTGTCAAATGTTGAAAGAGATAGCTAAAAGGGATAATTGAAGACACTGGCTGCATAATTTTTCCGAAGGGTCTAATTCTTAATTGTGGTTCCCAACAGGAATGCAGTACTCTCTAATTACCAGGCCAACTTGGGAAACTACCAGCTCTTGAATCCAGACCCAAATGCTGTGTGGCGGAGACTGTCTCAAGTGGCTGTGCATGAGAACTACACCGGAGATGGATCCAGTGGAGACATAGCTCTAGCTCAGCTAGAGCAACCTGTCCGTTTCACCCAAGGGATCCTTCCAGCCTGTCTCCCAGATGCCAAAATCCAGTTTCCAAAGGGCTCCCTTTGCTGGGTGACAGGGTGGGGATCACCTACATATGGAGGTGAGGAAAGTTGTGGGATGAAGACCTGAGGAAGAGAGAGTGATTCTTCTTTAGCATAGAGAGGTCTTAGACTCTGATGAGATGAACCAAGAAACAAAATGTGAACAAAATGGTTACATTGCATAGTATTTAAGAAACTAGTTAAGAGTCTTTCTAAAATTTAATGTTGTTTGTGTTTCCTTCAGGGGTGGGATTTTATTGGTTGTGACCGGTTCTATAGAACCCCTTGTTAACTTTCTAAGCTGTTCGGAGAACCAGTTGTTAGAAGAAATCTCCTTTTGTTTTTTTCCACCCTTATTACATTCTTGGCAGTATGCCTAGACTTACTGTTTCAGAAGGAGGTTTTTTCTTTCTTTCCTGGTACTTTCTTAAAGGGGAAGGGTTGTTATAAGCTTTTCACACTGCTGTTGGGCAGAGCTGTGGAAAAAAGCTTTGTAATGTCAAGGAACCAAGATATCTGACATTCAGCAAGGCTTCTTGGCTTGCTAAAAAGATTGACATTCAAACGTGAGTTTACATACCCTTTCTGAGTTTTGGTCTAAAACTGTTTTTTGGTGAAGTTTAATTCTGTCCTTGGTGACATTTAATCCTGTGTTTATTGATGGGATAATTTTCCCTATCCAGCTTTGTTTGGAAGGAAAAAGGTTAATCTTTGTTCCTGAAAAGAAACTTGGTTGAGAAATCTGCTAGTTCCTTTGTCTATTTGTTTTGGTAATTGGTTTAACAATCAAGAGCTACTGTTGTGATTTAATTATTTGTATTGTGTTTGAATTTTTTCCTGCCTCATGGTTTCTTTTTCTATCTGGGGAGGAGGGTCCTCCTTCACTGCTTTAGTATTATTGGGCACTGTCCTTTTGGAGTGTACTTCCAAGAGGCAGGATGCAAGCTTGGCACTGATTTTTTACTGCCTTTCTGGGGGGCATGTGATCTTTCCTTAAATCTGGATGATTTCCTTAGGATATCTTGTGAGGTGAGTGAGACCAGCTGGTATCTTTAAGTGATACAAATGGATCTAAGGATTGCTTTTCCTGGGTGTGCTCTTTCTGGAAAGCTTAAATGACCTCTCTGCTAAAGAGTTTCACTTTTAATCTAATGATTGGTATTTAGGGCAGCTTTTTGCAAGCAAAGAAACTTTCTATTTTTGTACAGGTAATCCTTGACTTACAACAGTTCATTTAGTGACCATTCAAAGTTACAATGGCACTGAAAAAAGTGATTTATGACCATTTTTCATGCTTACGACCATTGCAGCATCCCCACTGTCATCAGAGGCCAGGCAAGGAGAAGTTCCCCTTGACGTGAGTGACGTTGAGTTGGCCACGCCCACTCAGTCACATGACCACCAAGCCACACCCACCAACTAAGCCACGCCCACAGTACCGGTTGTTAAAATTTTTGAATCCTATCCCTTGTTTCCTTTGTACCAAGACCACTCAGCATTTCAAAGTACAGTACAGCAATATAGGTAGTTAAATAGGATCATAAGCAGCATGTGGTTAAAAGGAAGGTTTTTGGTTTAAAATAATTTAATAGGATTTCAATATTTAGAAAGTGGAAATAAACACAAAGCTTATGTAGATATGCTTTAAAAACAATAATCAAATTACCACACAAACATGGTATCACTGTAATGTGGCAAATACATACGCAGATATTGGCATTCATCATATTTAATGTGAAGGCTTCCTTAAATTGAACTTGGTTTGTAGTCACTACTTAATGGGCTAATAGAAATGTTGATATTTTAGATAATTTAATTGCTAATCCACTTTTTAAACCATGTTGTTGCAAGAGGAATTCAGTTTTTCTAAAACTTCAGAATGGCAAAATAGTCAACAGATCTTTTCATTTCACATTTTGAACTAAACACATTAATAGAATCTGAAATGCTTGAATTTATATTACCACTGAAATGTATTTGTGGTAATATAAGTTTACATTTTGTGGGCTGTTAAAGATACTGTATTGTTAAGAGGGATATTAATTATTTGCAAGAAATTTGGAATAAAGAATTGGAATATCCCATTTTGTAATCAGTGGTTAAGTAACTTAATGAACATTAAATGTTTCTTATGATTTTAAGATGAAATCAACATTTTTGTTTATGATTATTGGCTGCTTCCAACAATCTTGAAATAGACTTAATTGCCAAATTCATTACATAGGCTAGATGTCTCAAATGACAGAGAAAAAACTAAATTTACATTTTTTGTGGGAAGTTAAAGAGCACTGCACTGTTAAGAGAGATATTAGTTATTTGCAAGAAATGTGGAATTATTCTATGTTTGCTTAATAATCATGATTTTATTAATAGATTTGGAAAAAGTATTATGTACTATGATTCACATATTTGGAATTTATTGCTGTATGGAGAGCTATGGGTTAAAAAAGCCTGAGGTAACAGACAGTGTAACCCTAGATTTACATTCTTGGATTGGTGACATGTGCTTATACAGCAGCGATATCCTGCTTATGAACTAGTTCTTTATTGATGTAATGGAAAAACTCACCAATATTTAAACATTAAAATATCACATTTAAAAATGGAACTTTTTAGATATGATATATTGCATATTTTTGCTCTTAATTTTGTTTTCTCATTTCTGCTTGTTTTGATTTGGGATATCTTCTTTTTTTAATCTATATTAAGCAATGAACTAAAAAAAAAAAATAGATGTCCCTTTCATAGCAGCAATAGAAATTTCTTAGTCTAATTCAGTGTTTCTCAACCCTGGCAACTTTAAAGTGGTTGTCAGAATTCCCTAAGCAGAATGCAACTACAGAATGCAACTAAACTGAGTGAAGGTTTTTTTTTGTTTTGTTTTTGTGGCTCTGTGCCTGGACAGTGCCCTTGTTATGATGCCCAAAGACCAGGTGGGATCCTCATTCCATATGAAAAAGGTGAATTTATGGCAAGAATTTAAAACAATGGCTGCAGGAGGGCAAATGACAAGAGTAACATTGCATCAACATGACAGAATGTATCAGGATGCCATCTACATAAATAAAAAGGATAGAACTTTCATCATGATGAGGCTTTTGTCATTTTGATGAAGGTGGTGGATCCTGTAGATGCTTTTGCTTTGAAAGGTGAGTTTGATGAGGTGGTAGCCAGGATCTGGTTTGGGGAGAGTATAAAGAAGTGTGGCCATTCTTTGAAATTAAAAGAACATCCTTTCTTGGCAGTATATCACTTATTGTAAACTGCTTAATTTTTCAAACTTATTTTTGATTAGTTGCTATTCTATAAGAGCTGTGGTGGCTCAATGGTTAGAATGCAGCACTGCAGGCTAATTCTGCTGACTGCTAGCAGTTCGATTCTCACCAGCTCAAAGTTGACTCAGCCTTCCATCCTTCTGAGGTCGGTAAAACTGTTGAGGGCAATATGCTGACTCTCTAGTTAGAGAGCACAGTAAAATACTGTGAAGTGATATATAAGTCTAAGTGCTACTGCTATCCTATGGGAAACATGCCTTTGACTAAGAAACCCTCTCAGCTATATTGCAGCCTATACCCACATAGAACCATTGCCACCAACCTTTCAGTGGAATGGATGTTTATTGCTTTTTTATTTATATATAAACCTCTTTGGGAAGCTGGTTATACTGAAAGCAGGGAACATTTTATTGTAATAATAACCATCAGAGCAATCAATTAAGTCCTTGACAAGAAAAGGGGACCCTGTGCATTCTAGTCCTGCCTTAGGCACAAAGCCAGCTGGGTGATCTTGTGCCAGTCATTTTCTCACAGCCCTAGGAAGGAGGCAATGGCAAATCATTTCGGGCAAATTTTGGCAAAAAAAAACTGCAGGGACTTGCAGTTGAGAATTGGATGTGACTGAGCAGAGGAAAATAATAGTAATAATATTAACAATAATGATGTATTTTTTTCTTCAAGCCAATCTGGGAGGTCTTAAAACATTGCAGCAGGTCCAGTTGCCATTGATTGACACCATGACCTGTGATGACCTCTTTCACATTGGTACAAATATCAGTCCCACCACCAGAGAGATCCAGGATGACATGTTCTGTGCTGGCTATGCAGAGGGAAAAAAGGATGCTTGTTTGGTAAGAGAAGATGTTGATGGACGTACCATGGAATGGCATTTTCAAAGAACACTCAAGGATGGAAATATCCTAAAAGTGAACTAAAGTGCTTAATCAAGTTGTCCTAGTTGTCATGGTATAAAATCGTTTTTGAGTAAAGAGGGATGCAAAAGATCTTGGCTTTCTCTTTCTTTTCTCGGCACTGTGGCATTCTTAACAGAGATTGCTGCTTCTTTCCTGCACTTCTTGAAATGGCTGTGTGGCTCTGTGATGTTATGTGACACACGGCTATTCCAGGAAGTATCAGAACTGGCATTTTAGCAAATGTATTTAAGAGTAGAACAAGAATGTTCTGGTTGCATTCTCCAATAGGAATTTTAGTTCAGCCTCTTTTAGGTCTTTCCCCTTGATTTCTTTCCCACATACTTTTTTTTAATTATTATTTTTATTAAACATATTTCATCATTTTATATCACCTTTACAGTCTTTGCAGCGCTCCAATATCAATAATACTCATATATACATATCAATTACATCTCTTTTTCTTCCGTTAACTATATACATTGTTATTAAGTTTAATATACCTCTTAAATTACCTTTATATTTAATTTTTACTTCTATTTTCTAACCATTCATACCATGTGTCCCAGAGCAAATAATATTCCGTTTCCCCTCTTTCTTTTAATTCTAATGTTAGCCTGTCCATCTCCGCACAATCTAACACCTTTTTTAAATCACCATTCCCTCAGAAGGCGTGCTGTCTTGTTTCCAGTTTTGCGCATACGCCATTCTGGCAGCAGTCATTATGTGCAATATAATATATTGAATTTTCTTACTGTAGTTTCCTCTTATTATCCCTAGTAGAAATAGTTCAGATTTTAATTCAATTTGTTGACTTGTGATTTCCTCTAGCCGTTTTCTTATTTTGGTCCAGTACTTCCTAGCTTCCGGACAAGACCACCACATATGAAAAAATGTGCCTTAGTTGTGTTTACATTTTCAACATTCCGCATATCTATTTGGAAACATTTCTGCCAATCTAGCTGGGGGTAAATGCCAATGATAAAACATTAATTGTTAATTTATAGTTTTTTCCCCATAGTTTTTCCCAATGTTCTAATTCAATATTATAGCCAAAATTCTTTGCCCAGGCTATCATGATTTCTTTGACCATTTCTTCTTCCATTTTAAATTTCAGGAAATAGTTATATGCTTTTGTTATTTTCTCCTTTGATTGCTAATAGGGGTATTGTTGTGGTTTTTCGAGAGCTGAGGAGAGGGCAGTCTTCAAATCCTTGTATGCAATATTGAAAAGGTTCCTTAATGTTCTCTTTATGAGTTCCTCCTGGCAGAGAATCCTCCAGAAAGATGGTAGATTGTATTGGTAAAATTGTAGTATTATAGTGGTTTCACACTGGTCCATGCTATGCATAAAAGGGGACAAATAATCTGTTATGGATAGAGGAATAACATACACTCTTATTGTTTACTTTTCTCAACCAGGGTGACTCCGGAGGTCCATTAGTCTGCCAAGCGGATGGTGCCTGGTTTGTTGCAGGCATTGTGAGCTGGGGTGATCTGTGTGGTCTCTCCAATCGGCCAGGAGTTTACACCCGTGTTAGTTTTTACCAAGACTGGATTCAGAGTCACTTCTCTGGGGTGCAATTTGGTCTTATGAATGTCACCTATTATCGAGTTGCTTCACCACAAGCTGCCTCAAGCCAAGTCCTCAAACATTTCAATTTTGTCCTCCAGTTTCTGATCTCCTGCTTTATCATCATTTTCTGAAATAGATCGGGAATAAGACATTCTAGTGCTTTTATTTACCAAGTTGAATTTTTATGGAAAAATAAATCTTAACTGAAGTCTCCTTGCAACACCAGCATCTTCCACTAAAAAAGACATTTATGGAATTTTATGGAAACACCACCAGCTTCTATCCTTGATGTGGCATTAGAAGTCCATTTCTCCCCAAAAGAATGGATTGTGGAATGTGAAGTTTATTTTTTTTATCTTCCATCATGTTCGACAATAGAATATTGTGGATTTTTAAGGCATTAGAGATGTGGAGAAATCTTTTACTGGTGGGAGAGTCATATTTCTTCATTTTGTTCTGTTCATCTAACTCTCTGAAGGAGAACAAGAGTTCTTATGTTTGTTTCTCAAAGGTGCTTTTCATGTCACTTCATATATATATACCATCTCACTTACCAAAGGGCTACTTTTTATCAAGAGGTTCTTTCCAAAGGTAACAGGAAAAGGAAATATGGAAGAGCCACCCTATTCAAGTCATATTGAACTTTCATCAACATTTCTGGATAGCATTTGGCTGGCACTGCTCTAACCCAACAGTTCCTGATCTGAATTTGAAATGGTGAGAAAAGTGGCATATAAAACAGCTAAATGAAACCTTGTTCCTTTAGCAGACTAGAGCTCATCATCTCAGGAATCTCATTTTGCCATAGTGTCTACCTCTGACTTAGCCTTAGACTTGATCTACCCATACACTTGAATGAAATTGTAGAATCTTGAAGTTGTAGAATGGTAGGTAGATCATACCATTTGAAAATGCAGACAGGGAAGTAGTTATCTTCCAACATTTCCCCCCAAATAATACATTAAGAGGGGAAAAAAAGAAATACAGTGGAATCTTGGGTCGCGAACATAATCCATTCCAGGACTATGGTCACAACCCAATTTGGTCATGGCTGGAAGCAAGACCATCTGTGCATGCGCAGACAACACCCCCCCCCCCCCCCCCCCCCCCCCCCCCCCGGGAAATAGCTGTGGCAGGAAAAATTGCCATGGCGATTTTCAGGTTTGCAAGGTCTCTACCCAAAGATCTGTTCATGACCAGAAGCAAAACAGAAGCAAAACAGAAACAAAAATTCTGGTTGTCACCTGATTTGGTTGGTTTTTTTAATAAAAGTTTTTTATTTTTACGCATCTCTTCACATGAGCAACGTGATTCCAGATTACAACATTTATACATAGTGATACTTACATTTTCAACTTTCTTATTTAATAATACATCAAATTATTATCCACTCCACTAATCTTCAAATAAATTTCCATTTCATATTTCAGTTCATTAATCCAATATCAAAATCATTTCCTCACATATATTTTCAAATTTTTATCCCCTATTATTTCCATTTTCAGCTTACCACCTATTTTATTTTACATTATGCATTATTATCTTCATTAATTAACTCAAGACCAATATATAGTAAACACAAAGAAAAAGCAAGCTTAAAGGAAAATTAATATATTAATTTATATACCACATGGTATATTCCTCAATCTACATCTTATATTTATCCCAACACTATTCATATAACCATTTCATATTTTTTCTTTATTTCCACATAGCCAAATTTTATCTGTAATTTAAATAAAATTTCATTCCCCTATTTTTAATTATAACATAATATTCTCATTATAAAATTCCAATATGATCCATATTTTTTATTTTCTCATATCCTTTGTTTAGTCAATTATATTTTCTATTTCATTTTATATATGGCTAGGTGTGTTCGGGTCTTTTCCCATGTAAGAGTATCTTGGCGACATTTTGGCGAGCTCCCACTCTGGTTCTGGTTCTTTTATTATTCTTTTTCCTCATAACAATTATAAGACCAGTAATTTTCCATAAAATCATGTAGGAAAAAAGTCTTTAACCATTAGGTGGCGCTCTATATCACTTTCCACTTTTCAAAGTTCTTTTCTCTTTTCAATTATATTAATGTTAATTTTGAATCATTTGCACTAATAGCTTTCTAAAATATAGTCAATTCCAGGCAAGTCCAGCATTTGTCCAATGCCTAAATTGATGCCAAATTATATATATATTGTTTCCAAATTTAGTCTCTAATTTCATTGTAGCTTTTTATAATCCAATTTTATTTACCTTATATTTTCCTCTTATATTCTTTTCACTGATGTCATACTCTTAAGCAAGGGCTCTTTCTTTCTGCTTCTTGGGGTTATTTTTAAAAAAAATCAAGTTCTTTATTCTGGTTACACATTGCTCACCACTTCACATACTTAGGTCCCAGCAGTTTTCCATCTTTAGGGCAGCCATTAAACTGACATTTCTCCCTGTCTTCCAGGGGAGTTAATACCTAGCCAGGGAGGGGAGATGTGGCTCCCCTCGACCCAGCTGGTGGTCTCCCCCTCTTCCCCCACCCTTCCGAGGTGGGTCAGGTGGTTCTGGTCCCACAGGGACCCTTCCAACAAGGTAAACACGGATCAAAGCTGTGCATGATCTCAGTCTCTAATCCATCTCTGATGGAAACACCACCGGAAGTCGATTTAGTTGTGAACAGAAGTGTTTGCGACCTGAGGTTCCACTGTAGATTCATAGTGGCTTTTAGTTGGCAACATATTGACATCTCTGGGAGTATTAGAAATATTGGAAAATATGTGGTGTGTATCAATTGGAAAGAAAGCTGAGCCAAGAATACTTTTTAAAATCTATGCCTGGGATTGGGAGAGACTTTCCCTTATCTCCTCTTTATATAGCATCCTTGTTAGGAATAATTTAAATAATAATGGGAGAAAATACTACAAAGACCCACAGAACCAAATCTTATTGGACTTTTGATCAACACATCCGGCTAAGTATTTCAGGTATGTTTTCTGACCACTAGGTTAGGTTTTATGGGGAAAAAAATATGATTTTGATGTGGAAATGTATTTTTAAGGAGAAAGTGCAGATGAATATAAATTTTGCCAGGTTCCTGATACATTCATGGTATAATTTCTTTGTGAAAAAAATAAATAATTTATAATTAGGTATGTGCAATTTTCTTGGCAGATTTATGGAAATGGTTAGCTATTTCTTTCTGGATTTTCTTTTCAACTTCCCACTTTACCCAACAAGCTTGGGACTTCCTGGTAGCCTTAATTCCAAGTAATATCTTGGTTGTCTTTTCAGATCAACAATGTATTTTCCTCAAGAAAGCTGGAGATGGGAAGGCTTCCAAAGCAGGTTTTTACATGAACAATACATGCCAAATCCCACAATCTGATAAATGAATGAAAAGTGTGCTGAGATTTTATCCCCCCCGCCAATCATGTGCAGGTTTTAAAACCAAAGTTTAAGTTTACAATTGGACTGTAAGTAGATTCAAGCCAAACAATGTAACTAAAAGTATTTATAGGATACAAACTTCAGCATTTGCAAATCCAGAATATGATTTGAGGATGAAATGATAGTATAAGCTTCAGTTTTTGGCCAAAGGGACATTTGTTCACTAGATGTTTGGATTTAGTGTGTCATGCAGACACACCCTGTGAAAGAACACGGTTAAAACTGAAAGGATTGTTTTGTTTCTAAAAATGTCTGGAATGATAATAAAATCAATTCAATGTCTATATAAGGCTGGGATGGGTAGCTCACAATACACATAGGGAATGTAGATCACTTCTTTTGCTTGGTGTCAGAACACTAACACCAAGCTAAAATTTATGATAGAACATTAACTTTTGACAGTAGAACTTAATCCCGCCATCCCAGCAGGAAAATACTAATCTTCTGATAGATATTTTACAAATGTTCCTTGAATCTCAAAATTATTTTATTAAAAATAATAAAAAGACATACAATACCAAGAGAAGAGTATATATGTATCTCAAAGTTGAACTGTGGAGTCTTGGTGCTACCTGAGCTTGGGTGTTTACAGGGCAGGGCAGGACAAGAAACAATAGATAGAAACTAAGCAAGAATACAAGCAACCTAGAACTAAGGAGAAATTTCCTGACAGAACAATTAATCAGTGGAACAACTTGCCTCAAGAAGCTGTGAATGTTCCAACACTAGAAGTTTTTAAGAAGAGATTGGACAACCATTTGTCTGAAATGGTATTGGGTTTCCTGCCCAAGCAGTGGGTTGGACTAGAAGACCTTCAAGGTCCCTTCCAAGTCTATTATTTTGTTATTCTATTTGCTTGTAGACTAGGTAACATCTTTCATGCTTCAGTGCACTCATTTGTCTGAAATGGTATTGGGTTTCCTGCCCAAGCAATGGGTTGGACTAGAAGACCTTCAAGGTCCCTTCCAAGTCTATTATTATGTTATTCTATTTGCTTGTAGACGTTTTGTTACTAGACTAGGTAACATCTTTCATGCTTCAGTGCACTCAAAATGTTACCTAATCTGACATCACAAAAAGGAGGACCAAACATTCCAGCCTTGTTCCTTTAGAGCAGTGGTCCCCAACCTTTTTTGTACCAGGGACCAGTTTCACACAGAAACACCTTTTCAAGGACCGGGTAGGGGCGTGAAGGTTCCAATAACAGTAAATAAATAAGCAATGAACCCGTAACTTACCCTTTCCAAAAAAACTCTCCAGTGAACTCTGTTTCTGGCTCATTTTGCGAGGGCTAGCTTACATTGCTGATGCAGGATAAATACGCGCCAAAGATTCAAGCGCGGAAGTTAGGCGAGGGCGGAAGTGGTTGTCTTTCAAAATAAAACACCCAGAAGCAAAAACACATTTTTATATATATTTTAATCATGATTATTCATTCTTTGCGGCCTGGTATGATGCACGGACCGGTCCCAGTCCGGGGCCCGGTGGTTGGGGACTCCTGCTTTAGAGGATATAATGATACCATCATTATCCTCTTTCCGCTGCTCAGAGGCTGAAATAAACAACTCTGGGTAAAATGATTAGTCCTTAAGAGAAAAGACCGACAATTTAAATTTTGTGTCATTTTCCAAGGACTGCAAATTATGGCAGAATGATAGATATTATTCATATGTCAGTCTAGAGCAGTCAGCAGCTTCAGATGAGTGGCTTTGCATTGAAAAATGACAGAGGAGTCATGAACAACCATTGAATTTAATCCGGTTAGACCAGTTTCAACTTTACACCCAGAAGCTTTACACCCATCAACTTTACACCCAACTTTACACCCATCGGAACCAAATCTGAAGATTAATGACTCTTTTTGTAAGACTATAAAGGGCACTAGTTGGATTGAGTGAAAGAGAGAAAGAGTGAGGAAGTGAGAAGGGGCAGGTATTGAAGCTATATGGATGGCTGATGAGCTTAACTTTCTGTATATTTAAGCACAGAATAACAAACACAATATTTTCCAGGAGATTGTCACAAGCCTGTTTTCAACTCTCCCCATTTGAAACTATTAGGTAATAATAGCTAACAGAATGGCATTATTCCCATTCCAACATCTTTGGGTCACCCCAAAGGAGAGTTATCTCAAATCAGAGAGAACTTATGTTCTATCTGGGTGTCCAAGTATTATGGGAAGGAACTGGAGAGGTACGAAGGTAGGTAGGTAAGAAGAAAAGGAAGGAAGGAAAGAAGGGGAAGAACATGGCTGAGAAACAATATAAGTCCTAGAAAAACTCATCTACCTTTTATACTGCAAATACCTTCTCATATACCTTCTATCCCAGGGCGGTAACTCTATTGAATTCTACTGTATAGTGCAATATTAATGCAATTCAATGTATAGAATGTAAAGGATGTGTGTTTGTGTTTATTTTCATAATCATAATGTATACTGAAGATGGTATTTAATTTTGTTGTACGAGGTGCAATGACAATAAAGTAAACTAAACTAAACAATAAATACCGGTAAATTTTAAATATGTA